TGCCATCGTGGTGGTATGATGTTGCCATCATGGTGCCATCATGGTGCCATCATAGTGCCATCATGGTGGTATGATGTTGCCATCATGGTGCCATTATGTTGCCATCATGGTGGTATGATGTTGCCATCATGGTGGTATGATGTTGCCATCATGGTGCCATTATGTTGCCATCATGGTGCCATCAAGATGATTTAGTAAAATAAATATGCTTGATATTTTTAATTCTTTCTTAAACTCTCTGAAATCTGCATGCAAATTTGCATACTTATTCTATTCGTCTTTTTATGTTACTTTTGGCTTTTAGCTGTGGTTTTAGCTTTCAGTTGTAACTGTTGATTTGCTTTTTTACTTTTGCATGTTTTGCTACTTGTAGCTACAGTTTTGCTAATACGACTAGCTGATTTTAGCTAGTGTTTTGTTCCTTTTTTCTTCCGTATCTGTTTGGCTACTTTTAGCTTTATCCTCTGTTTTGCAACATTTAAATCAAGTTTAGCAAATTAAACTTTTAGATACTGTTCTTATAACTTTAGCTCTGTTTTTGTTAGAACCTTAAGATTTCTGTTTTAGCTTCATCTTCAGCACTCAGCATTCCCACTGCGTTTTCATAGTTTTTCATTGAAATTTTACCAATTCCACGCTGGATTATGATCTGAAGGGTTTAGGTGAAATAACCGTAGAATAAACATTTTTTTAACAAACATCTTATAAGGCTGTTGACAATAACTTAGGTAACAGCTACAAAAGCACGTTTTTCCTTTCTATTATCAAGCTAGAGTTCATCAAACTCAGATGAACAGGCCAAGTTCAGTCCTCAGGTTCAAAGTTCACGCTCCACAGAGAGCTGACCTGTTTCATGTTCATCGTCCACCTCTTCATAATATTGATGCTATGGATGGCTGAAAAAGTGTTTTTCCTTTCCACTGTTGCCTTTGTGCTTGCTCAGGATGAAATGAAGATTCAACATGTCTGCTGGTTTCCTTAGATAAAGAACTTTACTAATTGGCTTTTCTCTGTATTTGAATGTTCCTGTTCAGTGTCCTGAGACAACTTTGTTGTGAATTGGTGCTATATAAATAAAGTTAATTGAGTTGAATTGTTTACATCTGTGCAGGAGCCGGGGAACGAGACTCAGATCAAGCAGTTTGCCCAGTCTTACGACGTTCGTTTCGACATGTTCAGTAAGATCGAAGTGAACGGGGAAAACGCTCACCCTCTGTGGAAGTGGCTGAAGGAGCAGCCCAACGGGGGAGGCTTGTTTGGAAAGTATGCAGAAAATAAAAGAACTAAAATATGAGGCAAAAATGAGTACAAGTTAATGATCTCACTGGATAAAGTTTAGTTTGGACTGGTTGGAATGAGTTAATTTGTACAGTCAGGTTAATAAAAAAATGTTTTAATGTTTTTCCTTTTCTTTTGTTTTTCAATCCTGCAGTAGCATCAAGTGGAATTTTACCAAGGTAAACAACAAATACCTTATAATTTACTTTAATTACTGGGCATCTGTTATGATTTTTCAGTAGGGAAACATACCCTAAACATGGAGTAAGTTCTATAAGATCACATGATCCGGTGTGAATGGAAAATATTGTTTATATTTTTGAATTTCACGTTTTCTGCTTTAAGTTTTGTGTTTTTGTGTCCAGTTTTTGATCAACAGAGAGGGGCATGTGGTGAAACGTTACGGGCCCATGGAGGATCCAAGCGTACGGACAAACTTCCTCTTTTCCTACAGATAGTTCAGTGAATAGATACAAACTGTAACAGACTTGTTGCTACGGTCATTTATTGAACGTTGTGAAATTTAAAATGGATTTTATTGCCTTGTTCTTCTTGTTTCGGCTGCTCCCTCCACAGTGAACTAACTCACATGAAGACGTGACAATTGTTTTTGCACCAGATGTCCTTCCTGACACAACCACAGACCACTGAGCTACCACAGCCCTCTGTGTGGAGCAGGGAGCTGCTATCGAAGGTGCCCGGGGGAGCAGATGGAGAGCCTTGCTCAAGGGCACAGAGTGCGGCAAATGAGGGTGGAGGCAGGTGTGGATGCTTCACCTTTCCCGCCCTCGTTTTGATGTTGTCTGCATGGGGAGTCGAGCCGGTGACCTTCCGATCACAGGCTCACCTGCTCTAACCTCTGCACCACCACTCCCCTTTTTCTTATTTTATTTCCATTCTTTTTAATTCTGGTCATATTATGTTAACACGTTAGGTGTAATCTAAACTGACAGTTTTCAGTTGATGAAAACCAGGGGAGCAGTGGCACAGAGGTTAGAGAAGAGGTGACTGGTTTGAATCCCCAAACCGTTACAACAAAATCTGCCTGCCTTATCTGGGAGCCCTCTGCTCCACGCATGTGGGCTGCGGTAGCTCAGTGGAGGGGCATCCGACGTCAAAACAATCTGCAGACTTCTGAGAGACACTGTGGCGACCCCTGGGGAAGGAGTAGCCGAAGAAGAAACAAACAATGAAAAGCAGCGATCTTGTTGTTGTTTACTTGTCTTGTCTCTAATCAAGTTTCAGAAAAGGCTGGAACTGTAAATTAATTATTAACTCTTGGTTTGTTTTTGTTTTGCAGGTAGTGGAGAAGGATCTTCCCAAATACCTTTAACCTTCCAGTCGTTCCTTATCGACCTTCCTTCGTTCGTTCTGTCGACCTTCAGCCTTTCTGCTCCTTTCTCTGCTTCTCCGAGCACCGCGGCTAAAGTTCAGCTCCATCCCAGACCAGTGACGGTCTGCCCACAAACCTGCCTGGCAGACAGGGCAGACCTGATGAAAGTGACGTGCAAACCAACTGGGAGGACGTTGACAACTTTCCATTGGGTTACTGGAGTCAAAGAGAAAGGACCTGTAAAGACAAAAGAAGCGCTTCTTCATCTTTTGAATAAAATTCACCAAGATTTGATTCCTGTTGAAATTTGTCTCAGCGATTTTTTTTTGTCTGACAGCAAAACGTTGAGATTTTTTTAAAGAGTTGTAGAAAATTTTTTTTATTTGGTTTTGTGCTCTGAAACAAAAATAAAAACTGAACTCACCCTAACGTGACCTTTAAACCCAATTTTGATTAAAACAAAACAAAAACAGTTCTGTATAAGATGAAGATGTCAAATTTATCCTGCCATAAAAAGTTTAAAATGCACCATATCAAACTTAAAAACTAAAACGGTGACGTTTTAAATTAGATATTTAGTAGGTACGGTGTAAGGGGACACTTGGAAAGAAAACTAGTTTCAGATCTGGGTTTTATAAGTCGGAACATAATTTAAAATATATTTAGCCTCCTAAAAGATGTTGAGAAGGTTAAATAAAACTTCAGATGAATAATAATGTGGTGTATGGGGTATATTATGTCTACATTTATTTGAAAAAAACATTTCATATTAAATACAACATACATTTTATCATATAAATTACAAAACATATTATATTAAATACAAAATATGATTAATCTAGCTCATTTATGAGTGGACAGTTTTTTCCATTTCTGCTTGATATATTTCACTTTCAGCTCCTGCACTTCTCTTTAATATTTATTTTATTTTACTGTACCAAGTGTTTTCAGTGGATTGGTCTGAACTACTAAAGAGCCCAGAAACTCAGCACTGTTTTCTAAAAGTATCGTGTACCCCAGACATTAACATCCTGCAGACTTCCTTTGTGTTTTTAAATGTGATGTATAATTTGGCGAGTACAGTTTTTCATCCTTCACATTATGAAAACTTTTAACGTCAGCCCACAGTGTGCTGTCTTCAGAGAGCACATCTGGATTAGATTCAACGTTACTGTCATTGTGCAGAGCGCAGAGACAATGAAATGCAGTTAGCATCTAACCAGAGGTGCAAAATACACCTTTACTACCAATTATATACAGATAAAATGAATGGAATGAGAATGGAGAATAATCATTTTAAATGTGAACATTATATACAATTCATTTCAGTTTATTTATATAGTGCCAAGTCACAACAGAAGTTATCTCAGTGCACTGAAGAGAAACATTCACATATAAAATAATAATTTAACATTATTTACCTGAGGAGCAGACTTTGAACTTAACGTCACTGCAGAACTCTCATCTCATCATACAACAGAGGTTGTAGAGTTATTATTTACATAAAAATTTTGGATGAGAATATGCTTATATATGTTTATAGATGTATATACTCCGTATATGCAGAGTGAAGGAAAGTGAAATGTGCAGATATATGGCGGCAGCAAAAAATACAATATATACAATGCAAGTATGAATTGAATTGGACTGTACAAATATACAGATATGATGGATATTTCAACATTAAGAACAAGTGTGTGTTTAAAGTGACATTATTAAAGTGACAGTGATGAGTTCAACAATGTTCCAGCCTCAGGAAAGAAGCTCTTTCTGAGTCTGTGGGGGAGCGGAGGCTCCTGCAACCATCCATATTTAGGACGAGAAACCTCCTTGAGAACCTTATCACATCTTATCACAAGCAGAACTGGTTTGTTCCACTTTGGAGTAAGCTGTTGTAGGAAGAATCAGTTTTGTTGTGTTTCCTTGACTGATGAAGCCTTCTGGACCAAAGGTGAAACGTTTCAGCACAAAAAAAGAAACTGTCCAGATGACCTGACTGAAAAATGTTGGATTGTATACCTGGATTATTGAGCATGGACTTTGTTGTCCTTGATAATGTTTGCAGTTCAGTTTGTTCAGTTATTTGTCAAATTTAAACCATTTACTTGTTTTTAATTTATTATTGTTATTTTAAACTACAACTTCTTGTGTGTGTGTGTGTGTGTGTGTGTAGGGGGGGGGGGGGGGATTATTACAATTCAAAGATTTTTTTCAAAATCAGATTTTTTCTTTGTTTTTAATGAAATAGACAAAGTTAAAGTAAATAATGACGAAACACAAACGTTAGGTCTGAAAATTAATCTTAATTTGGTTAAACAGGACTGAGGCTCTTTGTTGGGAAATAAAACAACAGTCAGCTGATTTCCTGCTTTCATTTTAAATAGGAAATAAATTTACAACTATGATTTTAAAGTAAAACATAATTTTATCTTATCTTTACCTTTAAAACTTCTCATAGGTTATTGTATATTAAAGTGAAACTTATTGATTAGTGCAAACTGTATTTTGTAAATCATAATTTTAGTAGGAGTGATCAGATCTGGATGTGTGTTGATTGACATTATTTTTTATATAACCAATGAACTTTTATGCATTTTGTTTTACCGTTTACAACAACATTGTAAATATTTCCAGCACATGTTGTTTTTTAAATTATTTTAAGCAGCTTATGAAGTGGATCAGACTCTAGCTGATAAAACAGAACCCCCTGAGCAGTTTGTTTTTCCATGTGGATTAACACACAGGATGTTTTTCACAACCTCCCAGTAAACAAACTGTAAAGTAGTTTTTAAAGCCTCCACATGCAGAATAACAAGTCTTCCTCAGATAATCACAGGTACTGTTGGTGTTAGCCTGAACTGAACGTTTCAATATCAGAAATGACGGTTTTATTGTTGGCAGCCTTAAAATTAAAATTCTAAACATTTTAAACTAATAAAAATAAGATTGTGGATATACTTTCAATTTCAATGCAAAAACAATATCATTTCAAGTTGAAAACCTATTGATATCTAAGACATTGATTAGGGAGAAGCATGTCATTTGATTATATACTAAACGACTTGCCATACTGGCCAACAACAGGCCAGAGCGACTGATAGAACTGATGTTCATAAAACATAAAATCAGAGTATTAAAATACTACACTGGGTGTTAGATGAGCTTTCAATTATTCAAATGTATTTATTTATTTAGACCAAGAACAAAGTCCTGTTTGTTTACATGAAGGGGACCTTTAAGCCGGTACTGGGACCATCCTGACCAGTTCCCCGTGTGGAGTCTGGTGAGATAATATTATGATTGGTACAAATACATCTCAGTAAAATCTCCTTCCTGTCTGAAATGAAAACAGGCAGAAATTCTGATCACAAAAATTATTAAAATGGTTAAAATCAAATGACATTTAAGCTGTAACACAAAGAAAACCTAAAATATTAACTTTTTTGTTTATTACTTTCTTTATTTCAAAAGATGTAACAAATGATACAAACAATCCTTCCTTAAAATTAAAAAAATCACAAAGTTCCTTAAAACACATCTACATGTTCAACGGGGTAACAAGAATAATAATTTACGATCCCCTGTAGCGTGTCTCAGCTTGTGTCACATTAACGCTCAACGTTTCGTTTTGTAAAGACTTATTTAAGACATTAAACGCAGGGAGGATCAAACGACTTCTCATTCACTGGATCCGTCCATCCCACACCAAATGTTTTCAGAAGAAGCCAAACGCACCCAAGTGCGAACGAGGAACCGAGCGATGCGACGATGTCTTCGATCAGACAGGAGGACAAACACAACGAACACCGACTCCGAAACTCGTAACACTGAAACGTTTCACATCAACAACATCCTGTAAAAAAAGTTCACATCAAACCAGCAGAACTTCTGCTGTCTGACCGTGCAACAAACCCAGAGCTTTGGCCTCTTCACAACAAACACTTACACTGAATTTCATCTAGTTTGCATAAATATACATGGCTTGTTATAAAATCATTACAAACCAGAGTAAACAGATAATAAATCACAATGGTTAAAAAAAAAAAAACAGAGAAGCAGTAACTCATCTCGGACATGAAATAAAAAAGATTGACACTGGCTGTATTCTGAAACAAATATATAAATAAATCCTTAAAGCCTGTATGTTTGTGATCATATTGTAACTGTTATGGTGACCTTCGACCTCGCCCCTCCTGCTGACAGACCGGAGAGTTAACCATCGCACCGCCGACATTAGGATAACTGTTCCAGTAATCTGATTAGTTTCTTGCAGGTCTGACTGGTTCATCAGGAACAGAGCGACGGCTCACAGCCCAACACTGGTGGTAAAAGGTACACGAGCAAAAAAGACATTTAAAAACATTTTAAATCCCTGATTGTTGCGATTATATATAAAAAATAGACACATACAAGAAAAGTGCAAGTCAAAAGTAATAAAATGCTTAAAAATATATATTTTAGTTACCTGCTGCAACAAACAATGCAGCTGTTCAACTAGAACTGATTTTTATCCATTCGTGTAAACTTCTACTTGTCAAGTGCTGATGATACAAAAACCTCAGAGAGGCTCGTGTGTGAATAAGAAAACACCCAAAATGAAACAAAAACTACAAACGGTGCTGCTGCATGTGTGCGTCTCTTCCTGTATGGTGAAAATCTTCACGCTTGCAGCAATTTATTGCACAACCTCTTGCCCAACTTGTGTTCCACAGTCACTCATTATTGCATGAAATGTAAAAACTGAGGAGAAAACAACATCTGAGAGCACGACTCCTCACATGTTCATGTTCCTGCAGGTTCCTCCATCGCTGCAGCAGACGTGTGTGTTAAACGTATTCCCAGCCTGAAGGAAACCATCAAGTGCTTTCTTTGAAGTGTAGCCAGCAGGCACGAGCTCACACGGAGGTCTCATACAATGCTTTCACTGGGTGCCATCTTCAGTTTGTTAGAGAGCAAGGAATGCTGGGAAGAGTTGGACTCCTTCACTTCAGGAAGGAGCAGACACACTTTCTGATTCATCCTCCTCCATTCGGAGTAGAGCTGACAGTGGTAGCGGAAAGACACCTGTGGGCAGAAGCAAGTGTTTAATGTGTTAACAACTGTGATGTCATCAGAATGTGTGTGTGTGAGCTCATGTGTACCAGAGTCCAGAGGACGTAGATGGTGAACAGAGCGATGGTGAGGGCGATGAGGCCGAAGGCCTGCAGCCAGCTCCCCAGGTGAAGGTGGTCCTGAGCACCTCGCAGGCACAGCCAGCCAGAGATGGCCGCCAGAGGAGTGATGAAGAGGAAGCACACCATGTCGCAGAACAGCGTCCTCTTCTCATGACGAGGGCCCGGGTCCTGCAGCCACTGTGGAGCGACAGAGAAACAGCTCAGGAGCAGAAAAAAGACATTTGTAGTCAAATGCTGTGTGAGCACTGAATGACTGCTGAATGACTGCTGAATGACTGCTAAATGACTGCTGAAGAAGTCAACGCTGATTTTTAAAGCTACAAGAGGCAAAACACTAGCTAAAAGTATAGAGAAACAAGAACAGAAAACAAGAATAAAACCTCAAAGTAGCAATACACTAGCTAAAAGTAGCATAAGGCTAGTTGAAAGCTAAAAGTGGAAAACACTAGCAAAAAGAAGATATGCTAGTTAAAAGCTAAAGGTAGCAGAATTGTAGCTAAAAGTAGCACAAGTAGAAGAAGATAGAGCAAATATGTTGAAGCAGATTTTGAAGAGAAACTGAACAACTCTCACAGCCTGTGTTTGGTGAAAGTGTTTGTAAATACTGTTGTTGTTGTTTGTCCTTCTGTAGGGGTCACTACACAAACTTGCATGAAAAATTAGGCAAATGTTTTACACAGGATGCCCTTCCTGATAGGGGTGCACCGATAAATCGGCCAGCCGATAAACCTTAATTTTGGGAAATCGGCCAATACTTACATGAGAAACCGTTTTACAGATAAATTCAAAAAGCGTTCAGATATTTTTTTAGTTTTAACAACAATTGTCGGAACGTCATTAATATTTCAGAGCACTGCCTCAGGACCAGTTAAAACAAGTTTGTAATGTTTCTGAGATATTGTTCAAGGGTATGTTTTTCAATAAAATAATATTGGAAAATTGAAGGTACTTTGTGACCTTATAACGCCTGACAGTGTCGCTTATAAAACAAAATCAGTATCGGCAGGTCAGACTTTTTAGAAATCGGTGATCGACCAGAAAACTACAATTGGTGCACCCCTAGTTCCTGACTCAACCTGGGCTCAAACTTGCAGCTGCAGAATTATGAGACAACAGCTCTGACCACCAAGCTACCGCAGCACCCTGAGAATATTTGTAAACAAGTGCAGAAAGAAAAGCTTTGCAGAGAGTGGTGAAGGCTGCACAGAAGTCTGTTGGAATCAGTCTCTCCATCATCACGGACATCTACACCTCCAGATGCAGGAAGAGAGCCACCTGCATCATGAAGGACCCCACTCACCCAGCACACACACTTTTTGTCCCGCTCCCCTCAGGAAGAAGGTTGAGGAGCATTAAATGTAGAACCACTAGACTGAGAAACAGCTTCTACACTGAGGCTGTTGGACTCATGAATCTCTAACCAGAATAATCACTGTAATGCCACTTTGACTGTTTATATGTGCTGCTGACTATCCATGCTGCTGATCTCATACTGCAGATTTATTTCATACTGCTGTTGTTCGGCGTATTGTTTTGTACTATTAGTACTTAGTGTATTCTTAGTTTAGCATATTTCTTAGTTCATATCTTAGATCTTAGTACTGTTTATCTTTACAGTTTATACTTTTGTTGAATGAAACTGGGACCCTGTGTGAATAGTGTCATTCCACATGTACCACATGTGGTGGAACAACAAATAAAGAAACTTTGACCTTGACTTTTGACTATGCTGATGCCCCCCCACCACTGAGGGATTTGAACAGTGAATGTTTGTAGTTGTTGAGATGAGTGTATTTCCGGACAGGAATTGAACCTTAATGTTTTTGGTGCAAGATATTCAAGTACGTAGGAACAAAAGTACTTTTTTTTTTGCTTGTCCAAGTTAGCATAGAGTGACGGATCCTGGCGAGTGGAGGAAGCAATCTTATCCATGACCAGGTGTAATGGCGGCACCATGGGGTAACCAGTGGTGGCTTTGGCCACCATAGATTAATCTTGGGCCACCTCAGGACCGTCCTAATCATGTGAGGAAATTACACTTTAAAGCAATATAAAAACAAGAAAGCATAGTTTCCTCAAATGATCAGGTAGTTTACAGCTATACGGCAGTGGCCATCTTGGATTATGATGTGGCAACTCAATTTTTATAGGGACCTTTTTAATACCTTGATGCAGCCACACACCACAACAAAAGTTGGCACATTGCTTATTTTTCCAAGTTATCCAACTCACAAGGTTTGCATATATATGGTACATATATGGTGGCGGCAGCCATCTTGAATTTTGTTGTGGCAACCGAATTTTCAAAAGGAACCGTTCGTATGCCTTCATGCAGCAACACACCTAAATGGAAGTTGGCATCTCATTTTTACAAACCGGATTCCAAAAAAGTTGGGACACTAAACAAATTGTGAATAAAAACTGAATGCAATAATGTGGAGATGGCAAATGTCAATATTTTATTCGTAATATAATATAGATGACAGATCAAAAGTTTAATCTGAGTAAATGTAACATTTTAAAGGAAAAATATGTTGATTCAAAATTCCACAGTGTCAACAAATCCCAAAAAAGTTGGGACAAGTAGCAATAAGTGGCTGGAAAACGGAAATTGAGCATATAACGAACAGCTGGAAGACCAATTAACACTAATTAGGTCAACTGACAACATGATTGGGTATAAAAAGAGCTTCTCAGAGTGTCAGTGTCTCTCAGAAGCCAAGATGGTAAGAGGATCACCAATTCCAACATTGTTGCGCAGAAAGATATTGCAGCAATACCAGAATGGTGTTACCCAGCGTAAAATAGCAAAGACTTTTAAGTTATCATCATCATCAACCGTGCATAACATCATCAAAAGATTCAGAGAATCTGGAACAATCGCTGTGCGTAAGGGTCAAGACCGTAAAACTCTACTGGATGCTCGTGATCTCCGGGCCCTTAAACGTCACTGCACCTCAAACAGGAATGCCACTGTCAAGGAAATAACAGAATGGGCTCAGGAATACTTCCAGAAAGCATTGTCAGTGAACACAATCCACCGTGCCATCTGCCGTTGCCAGCTGAAACTCTATAGTGCAAAGAGGAAGCCATTTCTAAGAAGCTCCACAAGCTCAGACGTTTGCACTGGGCCAGGGGTCATTTAAAATGGAGTGTGGCAAAATGGAAGACTGTTCTGTGGTCAGATGAGTCACGATTTGAAGTTCTTTATGGAACACTGGGACGCCATGTCATCCGGACCAGAGAGGACAAGGATGGCCCAAGTTGTTATCAACGCTCTGTTCAGAAGCCTGCATCACTGATGGTATGGGGTTGCATGAGCGCTTGTGGCATGGGCAGCTTGCATGTCTGGAAAGGCACCATTAATGCAAAGAACTATGTTCAGGTTCTAGAACAACATATGCTCCCATCTAGACGTCATCTCTTTCAGGGAAGACCCTGCATTTTTCAACATGATAATGCCAGACCACATTCTGAAGCAATCACAAGATCATGGCTACATAGGAGAAGGATCCGGGTACTGAAATGGCCAGCCTGCAGTCCAGATCTTTCACCTATAGAGAACATTTGGCGCATCATAAAGAGGAAGGTGCGACAAAGAAGGCCCAAGACGATTGAACAGTTAGAGGCCTGTATTAGACATGAATGGGAGAGCATTCCTATTTCTAAACTTGAGAAACTGGTCTCCTCTGTCCCCAGACGTCTGTTGAGTGTTGTAAGAAGAATGGGGGATGCCACACAGTGGTAAAAATGGACTTGTCACAACTTTTTTGGGATTTGTTGACACCATGAAATTTGGAAACAACAGATTTTTCCCTTAAAATGATACATTCTCTCAGTTTAAACTTTTGATCTGTGATTTGTGTTCTATTCTGAATAAAATATTAGATGTTGGCACCTCCACATCATTGCATTCAGTTTTTATTCACAATTTGTTTAGTGTCTAACATCATAGCACCCGTTTTCTAAACGAGCTGAAGTTCTGCTATATGAATGGCTAACTTTGGCACAAAGTATGCAGAAGAAATCAGATAACAAAAACTGTTCCTAGTAACAAAAACATTAGTGTGAATGCTGAACCACAATAAAAAGCAACAACAACAAAAAAGGAAATTGATGCAGTTTAATAAACACAACTGAGAGACTTTACTTGTAGCTAAAACCACCGAGAGCAAAGACTGAAACGGACGAGGCTAAAGACTGTTTACCTCTGTAAGAGTCTGCGGTCGCCGCTCGATGCTGAACTCGGTGTGACAGAGCTCACAGAAGCTGGTGTTAGAAGACGACAGCCACTTCTCCAGGCAGCTCTTGTGCACCGTGCCCAGTGTGCCTGTGCAGTCACACGGGGACAAGAGACCCTCGCCGCTGCCTCCCTCGTGGCAGATACGACAGATTGGACCATCACTGATGAAAAAAAAAAAAAAAAAAAAACTCAACCAGGAAGTTATCTGAAAAGTGAAAACGTTTGACCTTCTACATTAAACGTTAATGACAAAGTGTGAGAGCAGGTCTAACCTTTGTACGCTCATGGGTTTGTGCACAGAGGACAGAAGTCGTCCATTCATGGCAGTGATCTGTGTGACGTAGAGCGCCTGGCACCCATCACCACCCGATTCCTCAACCACTTTCCACAAACCTGCGCTGCCGGCACAGTCGCACAGAGAGCCGGGCAGGTGGCAACACCCACCTGTCGTCATGACAACACAGTCCAGACACACAGAGCTGAGGGCGTCCAAGCCTGAAGGTGATGTACGGAGGGAGGCAGCAACGAGAGCAAAGCTGAGGGGGTGTCTGCAGAGAACGTAGAGATGTAAAAGTTGTATGAATGTGAACGGGTCAACGAGGGCACAGATTGTTGTAAAGCGTTTTTTTGCAACCTGGTTGGCTCTAAACAAATACAGCTCATTTACCAATTTACATACAAGATTATAACCGTTATCATTACAGATATTGAGCTGTGTCTGAGTCTGTGTGGTAGTAGATGAGAGTCGTTCCAGTCACATACTCCAAGCACAACTCATCGCTCAAGAGTCATGGTTAAAACTTTGACCTGTAAGTTGGTGGGTGATATGCATTCTTTTAAGGAACGTGAGTTTAAGACCAAAAACATGCATGTTAGGCTGATTGGTAACTCTAAATTGTCTCTAGGTGTGAGTGAGAGAGTGAATGGTTGTCCCTGTGTGTCCCTGTGATGGACTGGAGACATGTCCAGGGTGTCCCCCTCCTCTCGCACATTGATAGCTGGACATGTGCACCAGTGACCCCAGCGACCCAAAAAGGAAGAAGCGGGTAAAGTCTGCTCACACAGACTCATGTTGGTGCTGCTGTCCAGCGTATTGTTTTTATGCTACTAGTACTTTGTGTATTTTTATTAACGTTTTTCTTAGTTCATATCTTAGATCTTATTACTGTTTTTCTTTTATATTTTAATACTTTTGTTGGAAGTAACTGCGACACTGTGTACACAATTTCGTTCCACCTCATGTGGTGGAATGACAAATAAAGAACCTTGAATCTTTGAAGATGATGGATGGACAATTTTGTCATCAAACAGAATGTGACATAAAAGGAGTAAATAAATCAAATGCACATTACTCTGTTTTCTTATGGACAGATCAGCCTCTGTGTTAGCATGTGTCATATTTTATTTTATTTATTAATTTAATCTAAGATAAAAAATAAATTAAAAAAAGTAATGCAACTAGATGGACAGCACTGTTGCCTCACAGCAAGAAGGTCCTGGGTCCAAGCCCCGGTTGGACCTGTGGTCTTTCTGTGTGGAGTTTGCATGTTCTCCTCGTGCTTGCGTGGGTTTTCTCTGGGTACTCCGGTTTCCTCCCACAGATCAAAAACATGTATGTTAGCTGCCTTCAGATCCAGACCTCCCTTGCAAAAGAGATCTGTGATCTCAGTGGGATCTGTCTGGGTAAATAAAGGTTAATAAATAAATATAAAATAGGGAAAAGTAGAGCAAAAAAAATAGTTGGGAAAACAGAAGGATGACATTTTTTAATGACGCGCAGAACAAAGAAGAAAAATTTAGAAGTAATTTTTAAAAAGTAAAATGTTGTGAAGACATCATTTTAATGGTGCCAACAAGTTTATCTTACACGAGATTTTTGGCCCAGTTAACGTCAAATGTTTGCTCAATTTCTGTTCATGTCAGTCTCCGTTTTTCTTTTTACTCCACCAAAAACTATTAAGTACATTTTCTATTCCTAGTTACACAGAAGTTCCTCAACGCTGTTGGTTTGTCTTCGTCATTTCTTGTTATCTCAGCATAAATAACATGATTGAGAAACGTATTGCACCACTTACTGAAAGGGCTGTTGTTTTAGAGGCGGGTCAGTTTATCCAAAGCAGGGTGATGTCAGCCGCAGTGAATGAACGAGGCGTGCAGACGACTGACAAACAGCTGCCCCTGACAGATAACGCTGCACCTCATGAGGAGGAGGAGGCACACAGCTGACTCACAAGTGATGCGTCTTGACATTATTAAAATCTTTTTGTGCAATAACTTTATTACAGATTAAATTACTTTAGAAAAAGAGCATGTACACCCTAACTCAGACCTGGGCATTGTACGGCCCCAGGGCCACATGCGGCCCTTTGGTTGACTCTGACCGGCCCCTGTAAGGGGAATTACAAAATACATATGTAAACAAATGAAGTTAACCAAATCCAGATATAGATCCTCTCTCACTGATGATGTCAGCTTTGCTTCACATCTCCACCTCAGACCTTCAACCTGACTTTAACATTTCCGTTAAAGCCCAACAGAGACTAGACTTCTCTCACTAAACAAGAAAAAAGAACTGAAAAACACCAAATGAGATGTTTAGACTACAAATGTAGGCACGTAAAGAACCGGGACTCGAAATCACAGTTCAGTGACGATCACTATTATATGATGTTTCATAATATTTGGCGTACAAAGACAATATTGTGATATATTTACAAAGCTAAGAACTTTTTCCAGCAGTATATAAAACTCGAAATGAGTTTTGGGGTGAATGTGACAGAAAATGATCACTAATATAACGTCACAAATGGTAAAAATGTTAACAGTTTACCATTGTACTGGGAAATTTAATTGAATAAATGATATTTTTTGTAAGGAAACCTCGCTTTTTCGTTGCTTAATCATAACAAATACTCTTACCAGCTTGTTAAAACAGTACTATGTACTGTGTTTAATAATGAAATACTATTAATATTATGCAGTATTGAGTTAAGTTGAAACCAGGTCTCTCTTGTAAATGAGTCCTCGAGGCTCAATGGGATTTACTTGTCTAAATAAAGGTTGAATGAAAAAGTCGTTTGTGCCAGCCCTCCACAATATTTGCTGTTTCTCATGTGGCCCCATGGAAAAAATAATTGCCCACCCCTGCCCTAACTGATAAATACATAATCAGTAAAAGTACAGAAAATCAGTGTATTAGTTTGTAAAAGTGTGTATGCATGTTGCTTCTAAAGAAATCATGCACATTTGATTTAACTTAACTTTAATCAACCAGGAAGTACTTGGAGATTAACATCACACTTTCAAGAAAGACCTGGTCCAAATACAGTATATATATATATATATATATATATATATATATATATATATATATATGTCAACATATTACAACATGGATAAAAAACATCAGTCCAAAGGACAATTCTTAAGTCTGACTGGATAATTAAAATAAATATAATAAACAATTTAAAACTTGTAATTATACTGTATATGTATCATAACATCACCTACATTGAAAAGAAGAACAATCAGTTTAATAAAATATATGCTTAAGCACGAATGCATGTATCAAACAAAGGTCAAATAATGTTGTTTATCTCTTATGATCACACTTTGGTTTGATGAAGCCTGATTTATTTAAAACACAGGAGTGGATCAAAGATTAGGGTGAAGTTTAAGAATCTGAACTTTAAATCTTATTCATGCTGAAATGTGACCAGTTCTTGTAATTTCAATAAATGTCAACTTCGTGTTTTCCACGATTAAGAGGCACAATCCTTGACCCAGATAAACAAAGTTTTATGTCATCCAGCTCTTTAAAAACACAGACAGGCTGTAAATGAGGGGATTAAACCTCATATTAAGGTTTGTAAAGAAGGAAACATTGCAATGCTGACTTTCAGGTGCATACAGCTGCAAACAGATGTGTGAGCCAATCTGTTGTCTGGATCGCAGCATTGTGTCACAGCAGCGGTGTTTCTATGTTACACATGGTCAAACAAACACCTTGGAGTTCATGTTAATAGTCATTTTGCAACATCTTAGCTCTGTGTCTGTGTTAGCTGCTAACAAACCGTCTGAAGAACAAAGTAAAACAACTTACCAAGGGCTTTCACAGCAGCGGCAGCCTCCGTTTTCCTGCTCACTTCATGTTCCACCGTGTTGGAGAAACAACACACGACAAAAAGTGCAGTTTTCTTAGCTAGTGTGCTAACTATAGCACCTCAGCTGAAAACACAGGCTGTGTCTGGTTTCCCACGGCCGTAAACACACCCTGAAGGCTCCACAGCCGTCTGGCTCTGAGTCTGGGTTGCCAGATACAAAAATCTCAGACCTGCTGGATGATGGGAGTGAGTGAGTCTGGTAAGCACACAATCTGGATGATCGGATCCTCTTTTCTGGCGACACGTGGGTGTTCACGTAAATATGAAAAATATATTTTTTTCATGGATGCATAAAAAGCCCCAAACTATCATATATTTTAACTTTTAAATACCATGTACAGTAATCGTACTGCTTACGATTACTACATTATATCTGGCAACACTGTGCGGGCGAGGACAAAGCTGTATGGCAAGCTGGTGTGACTAATAAGTTACATACACTAGTACAGTACTTTTCGTTTATGAAATTGCCAATCCTTTGACTGAATGGCATTATTTTAAATAAATGAACAAATAATAACAACAAACAAATAATCTTCCAAATATATATATACCGTCTGAAGAACAAAGTAAAATAATAAGTATCACCCACCACCTTTTATGCCAGATTTTTAAAGTAAGATCATCTTATAAGAAGGTGGGACTGGAGTACATGTTGGGGAGGACTCTCAGCTACTACCACAATACATTTCATTTCAATATTTGCAAAACTGACTGAGCTGTATGCTATCTTTCTGTTAGCTACTGAATAGCTGTGCTGGTCATTTTGAACTACATTGAGACCCAAAGCTAAGCAGTTCAGAGATTTACAGACAATGATTAGGTTCATGTCTCTCTTGTAAACGAGTCCTCGAGGCTCAATGGGATTAACCTGTCTAAATAAAGGTTGAATGAGGTTCTGAAAGCTTCATCAAAAAAACTTGTTCCAGTTTGATTAACCAGAAGAGTCCAGTATTAAATGAGTTTTTCTAAGCTTTCTCATTGCTTTTTTATTAAGAAAATCAAGAAAAGCTGAGAATGTGTCTCCCAGGAAAGCTAAATTTTTTTCAGTTAAATTTTATTGTGCTTACTAACTTATGACGGCTGAATAGAGTACATTACCCAACAATGGTTGAGACTCAACTCAGTCCAACACATTCTATTGGAAATAAATACTACTATTGGTTTGTAATAGTCAAATATTTGACCAATTATGACAACTTTGAAGCAGCTAAAAATAATCTCTGACATTTTCTGTTTATTTGGTGGGGCAAAAGGACATTATCAGCAGCAATATTTGAATTTTAACAAATGCACCCCAGCACTCCCAGAAACACTACCCCCTCATTAATTCATACGCAAACTAGTCAGGAACTCAACAAGAAAATAGAAGTATCTAAAAATAACAGTTTGCCACATATTTCAATGGTGTACACATATTTTTTATTTCAGTACTTTCTGAGTGATGCAAAAATAGTACAATAAGCCCATTTGCTAACACATGCTTCATAGAAATGTACACTATAACAAAGTATTGAATAAATCATGTCAAAGCTTAAATTTAAATGGAAAAAGAGGTAGTTCCCTTAACGTAGAAACCTCTGATGTTTGGTATGAAATGGTTCAAATTTTAGTCATTACCTTTTGAAATGATTTCCTATAACACACATTTTTTATGCAGTTCTGTTCTTAAGACACATTCAATCAATAACAGTAATTAGCTTTAAACAAACAACAAAAAAACAACAAAACATGTCTAAGAAATGAACACTCGTAGTGTTTTTTTCTACCGTCAACCAACCAGGAGATAAAAGTTTCTTCAAATTAAAAATGTTGATATAATAAAAATTATAGGGGAATTTAGTTAATAGAAATCTTTCGACTTTGGTGCATTAACAATTTTTGTCTAGAAATATTTTCAAGAAATGGTTTGGGATTGTTTTGAAGCGGGTGTTCAGTGGTTTTTTAGTTTCTCAGCTCATACCGGGGCCAAGACCAAAGCAGATTTCTGTCGTCTTAAAAAAAAAAAACAGTTTCAAAATTGTCTATGCAGTCTGTGTGAATACATTTATTTTTTACCTTTACTCTACCATTAATTGAGCATTTTGTTATTAGTTATATGAAGGTCTGTGGTTATGTTTCCATCAATGACAGTGGTCTGTTCCCACAAACACATGAAACAAGTAACGCTTGTTTGAACTGCAGTAAAACTTTGGTGTTATGTTTCGGTTAAGGATCCTAAAGTCACTGAAAGTTTTGAGACTGGAATCGTTTTCAGGTGGTGAAAATTTGCTTTGGTCTTTACCTGTTTACTACTGGTTAGCTCACTGGTCAAAATCATAGTAGACACAAGTCCAGAAGTAGGAAGTTAAAGCGACAAAGGGTGAGTGCCCCCTAGTGGCTGGCAGCAGTACAATTATCAGTCACAGCCTTTCATGTAAACAAATGAGACATTTGGTTGACTAAAAATACTTTTCAAAAAACTTTTTTCCTAAATGTTTATCTTTGTGGGGTTTTTTTTTTTTTTTCCAAACATTTGTTTAGTTTCTTTCAACACATAGTTCCCAACACTTCCTACATCTGGACATTTTCCAACATACCAGTAGGGAAATATAAACGAAAGCAACAATAAACACACGTGAGAGATTGATAATGGTTGCGTGCTGATAGTTAAAGGATGCACACAAAAATCAGTATCCATTATATCCAAAATGAGAAAGCACAAAGGCGAAAAAACTTTGCAACTCAGCATCCAGCTCCACCGAGTGCAGCTCGTCCACATCCACAGGAAAGACCAACCGTCTGAAACCGATTCCTGATATGGTTGCAAACATGTGATTTATGAAGTTAGGCTTGGATCATGCATGTTCAGATCAAAAAGAGAACGGAGTGCTTATAGTCTCAGGTGCAATGTGTGAATTGGAGACAACTAAAGCCTGAATTATTACATCTAAAGGCACATATAACACACATTTCTGTTATATCTGTGTACAAACAAGAAACACTGTTTACTTACCCAGCTCGTGATCAGAATGTGGATGTTTGTTTGTAGAGTACATCCTTCACTCAAGCCACTTTTGCTTTGGTTAAACATGTCCAAAATGTTCAATCCAAGTAATTCCTGCAGAGTGTACGTGCTTTTCTCGTGAACTAAATAATTCACAACGTTGACATAAGTGACAGCAGGGAGCTAGCCTAATAACTTATATCCACTGTGCACAGAAAACCCTGGCTAAGGTTTCCTACTAATGGTGGTTTTCTGGTAGGACTAGTTTCTGGAATGGTCTAATGGAAACTATATATTAGTTCTAAGATGCTTTAAGTGTCATGTTACCCTGTGATTGACAATATAACAGGTAACAGGTTGAAAGTGTGTAGGCAGGACCTTCGTATTGAGGACACTGCCCACATCCCTAATGAGCAGACTCTGGTTCCAAAAATAGGTCGTAGCCGCTCCTGTAAACCAGACACTTGGGCTTCAGTTTTGGACAATGGAAGCTGACGGAGTTGCTTATTTTATAACGTCAGTGGTCAGAACTAATGTCTCACCCCTTTCACATAACACCAGAGCTGACACACCTTGTTGCAAACACAATGTGAATTATAAAAGCATTGAAGCAAATTGCCATTATTATGAGTTGTTAAAAGAGATGGGGTCATGGTGTTTTTGGTTACTCTTATGTTTCCAGTTATGGTTTTCATTCTGATTTTTTTTTTATTTCCTGTTTTAGAAATACTGAGTAAGTTGGTCTTTGGGTTGCTTCCACTGACCTGCTCCTGTATGTAATTTATACTCCTCATGTTTACAGCCGTTTTTTCTTACTCACTTTTAACTTGTTTGTATTCTATGTTAGCCATTTAGTTCTTATCTTTACCCGTTTGGATCTATGCGTTTTATCCTGTGTCCTTTGCTTGTTTCTGCTGTGCAGCACTTTGGTTGACCTTGTTGCTGTTTTAAGTGCGTTATAAATAAAGTGGTATAGCCCCAGCTTTTCTTGCTCAGATGCCAGAGAACTGTTTTTATTTGTCTCCGTTCTGATCCTACATCCTTTTGTTAGCATTTGTTATTTCAACTTTAGTTGCTTTCCTTGAGTTTCTTCTTGCCTGTGAAGCGTCTTGTCTCATTTTTGGATAAAAAACTTTATTGATGCGAACGCAAGCCGGCTAACCGGCTCTTGGTTTTCTATTTGCATTTGGGTTCTTGTTCTGCCTTAGACAGACAAGTACTGACAGAACCCTAACAGTCGACAAGGAAAGGGTAAGCTAGCGTCAAGTCTTGAGGATGTGATGTAAGGAAGACAAACACCTGTCTGACCAGCTGAGATTTGAAATGGGAGCTCTCTGTCATGTTTTACACGTAGAGGTCCATGTAAACGCTACTAAGCTAGACGTCACATCTCCACGACACCGACTCAATGTAAGAAGCCTCACATTTTCAGATGTAGCTAGCTCGACTGATGGTTTTTAAATAACCAGATTAAAGAGGGACTTATCAGTGCAGCGACACTGCGAAACTGTTTTGTGTCGAGGTGGTTGTTTTGCCAATTTGAGACAAATGACTGGCGTTTATTGCAGGTAAGATGCTGACAACTCATAACATCTCTGTTTAACACTGCTCTGAAGAGGCCATACTATCGTCCTCAGTTTGACCTGAGTCAGTTCAGATAAAACAAAAATGATGTGATTTTACAATAGTCAATCAGGCGCAGTAATTAATATCACCCCCCCCCCCCAATTTTGTGCACTGTGATGAAGACACACACACAAATGCACACAAAACAAATATTTGTTTCACATTTGCCCATTTTAAGTCAGTCAGTCACAACCAGTGAGGTGCCTGGTTGATGCTAATTTCATGCTAGAACGGGCAACTGGCTCAAAGCAGAAACTGGAAACTGCAGATTACACGAAACGACTCCAAACATACCTTCTGCTTCTTCTACAGCCAGACCAGCAGAATCAGACCAGCAACACGTGAAATGTTTTCATGGCGCTGAATCAAATTTGAAGTTATGTAAGCTGGGGAAAGGAGGCGAGTAGAAGCAGCTTGATAAGCAGGCCAGCTGATCCCTCACCAGGAGTGGGTCAACAGGATCATCATCTGGTGAATTAAAATGGGATTGTAGTCGACTACAGCTTCAGCATCCTTAAAGCTTTACACACCTGGTTACCCAGAGGCAGAAATACATTTCACACAGCACGTTTAGGAATCAGAGAACAAAAAGAAATGTGACATGTAAGAATTCTGATGTCCAACATTTCTGAAAAAATAAAATAAGATGGAAGTGATGAAAGGCGTATGACAGTTGAAGTAAAGCAGAGAAGGGAGGAAACTGCAAGGATCACAGGCTCTGGCAGCAGGGGAGTTTGTTTCCTCTTTGCCCGTCCATGGTTGGGGGGACGCTGATGTCCACAACGTTGTTGCCTGGTGAATCATCGTGTGCAGATCTGTCCGATATTTGCCTCTGAGATACAATACGGTAAATTTCTGCGTGAAAAATGAAACAAAATCAACGACGACGTGTTGACAAAGTACGATGACTTACTAATTCAGGAGCGTACATAAAGCTGTTCGTCACTTCTCCTACCTGTAAGAATGTTCTTGAACGCTTCTTCGACATTGGTGGAGTCCAAAGCTGAGGTCTCAATGAATGACAGCGTGTTTTTTTCTGTAGATGAGAAGAAACAGGCAGTAATTTGTAGTTGTTCATTTTAGCTGCTGGAATGTGAACTGGAGCTCGTCCTCAGAGATTAATAACTCAACTCTGATCCGTAAAGGCGCACGTGCGTCAGTGCACTGGAGAAGGTCTGGTTGCAACAGGCACGATTCACTACTGTTTTTATGAACACAGAAACGCCCTCCACTTATTGCTAGTTCATAATTACACATACAAACTACAAAACAAAATACATCATTTTTTGGTGTTATTTTGTTTTTCAGTCACAACTACTGAGAAACAAAGAAGAAACTGTTCATCTCTTTAAGAGAGGGAAGGATTTTGTTTCCTGGAGGAGGTGTGGTCTTATATCAGGGACCACCTGTCAGAGTGATAATGGTCCACATGGACCACTTTCACAGCTGGAGTTGAGCGAGGCATCTGGCATGTGTGTCAGCAATACACCATTTAGAGGCGGCTGTGGCTTAGTGGTTAGAGCAGTCGTCCTCCAATGCAAGAGTTGGGGGTTTGATTCCACCAGCAGTCACATGCTGAAGTGTCCCTGGGCAAGACACTGAACCCCTCATTGCCTCCGATGTGTGTCCCATCAGTCTATGAATGGCAGTGATGGCGCAGAGGTTAGAGAAGATGGGCCTGTGATCGGAAGGTTGCAGGTTTAACTCCCCAGACTGACAACATCAAAATGTGGGTGGAAGAAGTGAATCGCCCACACCCGTCTCCACCCTCATTTGTCCCACTCTGGGCCCATGAGCAAGGCCCTTAACCCCCATCATCTGCTCCCAAACAGGTCTCTCTTGAAAATGAGTCTTCGTGACTCAATGAGACTACTTGTATAAATAAAGGGTAAATAAATAAAAAAATAAATATGAAATAACTCTGATTAGTCTTTGCATAAATATAGTAGAGTGCTGTATGAATGGGTAAGTGAGTGCACAGATGTAAATGTAAAGAGCTTTGAGTATCTTGATAAGGTGCTTTATAAGTACAGTCCATTTCAAATGTTTTGAGAACTCGGTGTACTCACTGAACTGCAGCGGCGTTTGTTTAAGATGAAAGATACACTGATCAACTGCAAAACATCCAAGACCCAAAACATTTGAGGAGGGACTTCTCATTGAAAATAAACGGATTAGTGTAAAAGTAAAGAAAATGTGTGTCGTGTTTGAAAACCGTGAGCTGACGGGATGAAGTGTGCACAACAAAACAAAGGGTGAGCGACAGAAGCTGGGGTTGAGCACTGCGCTGCGAGGAACTTCAGGCATCCAATGGAAGGAGTCCCCAGCTCCTCCTACTCCTCTACAAACAAACACCTCACTTGAGATAAAATGCAATAATTTACCTGCAAAGGCTCGAGCTTCATCCGTGGGCACGGCCCTGAGGTGGCGAAGGTCGCTCTTGTTCCCCACGAGCATGATGACGATGTTATTGTCGGCGTGGTCCCTCAGCTCCTTCAGCCAGCGCTCCACGTTCTCATACGTCAGGTGCTTGGCGATGTCATAAACTAGGAGGGCCCCGACTGCACCTCGATAATACCTAATGGTAATAAAGCAAGAAAGATCAAAGAAAATGAGCTGAATTAACGTGTCTAGACTTAAAAATATTTTACACGTAGTCTAAACTTAATACAAAATAACGTTAGTTTTATATTTAACAAACTTAGACGTAACACAAAGAATAAAACAACAAGCGCGCCACATTCGGCACATTATATACACCGTCGACAAACTGTCAGACAGAAATAAATCTATATGACTGAGAGGATTCTGTGTTTATTTGTTTTTCTTGTATCGTTTATTTTTCTTGTGTTGCCAGATCCTGCTGCACCTGTCCCTCATTGTCCTCCCCCAGGTGTTTGTAATTATTTACTTGTTAATGTCTCTATAGTCTGAGTTTCCTTGTTGTTCCCATCGGTGGATTGTCCTGTCTAGACATCATGTGCTGTCTCCCTCTGTGTCTCCATGTTCCCTCCATTCATGCAAGTATTGCTGCCACGCAAGCATTTTCTTTTCATTAATAAATATTATTTTACCTCTGAGGACCTTGAATAGAAACCTCGACCATAGAGCTGGGGTGGTGAAAAGATTTAGCGACATGCTATCTAGTGGTGGTACAAATGTGATTCATTAAATTATCTTAGGTGGATCAGAAGTTATGGCCCAGGCAAGCAAAGACATGGTTTTAACTTTGACCTTGATTTGTGACCTTGACCTTGGAGCTGGGATGTTGAAAAGTGTATGTGACCATCTGGTGACAATTCACATGTGTATGAAGGTTTGTTACATTATCTTGATGATCGGAAGTTATGGGTGGGACAAAAGAAAGTTTACAGCTGGACAGAGAATATACCATAATACAGTCGCCATTATAAAAAAATTATTGCTGTAAAACTTTGATTCAGAAAGATACGTAAAGGGAAAGTTTCCATTTTCTAAGACCTTTGATAACTTAAGTGTATCAAACGAATGCTGTTTATGTTTTAAGGCCAAAAAGCTTATTTCTCATTGCAAAATGCTGAAATCATTACAGCTTTAAATAAACTCACGCTGAGGTGATTGCTCTGTAGCGCTCTTGTCCAGCGGTGTCCCAGATCTGAGCTTTGATCGTCTTTCCGTCCACCTGGATGCTGCGGGTGGCGAACTCCACCCCAATGGTGCTCTTGCTCTCCAAGTTGAACTCATTTCTTGTGAATCGAGACAGAAGATTACTCTTCCCCACGCCGGAGTCTCCGATTAGAACAACTAGAAACAAAGCACCAAAATATGAGAGCAACCACGACGTGTCAGACAAACTACAGGCGTTTACTGGTATGAAGTGGGAGATTCAGAGACAGCCAGGTTCATATTTATTACATTTCAATCTCGCCTTTGACAAATTTTAGACAGATTGGCAAGCTTATTAAAAACTCCCCTTCTTCTTTCTGCTACTGTTGTTCACATAAAAACCTTGTCAGACTCTCCAATCTGCATGTCTAATTGTAAATAAAACCAATCACACTGTTGTTTCTGCATGATCAGGATGGTAAACGTGTATTTTTACTTTAACGTGTAAAGATACTCTCTTGTGTTTAGGATTTTATTATCAGATATACAAGTCAGCTCTTTGTCTGAAAAACAGGATTTACAGAAAAATGTCCTGATCATTCTTTGAGTCAAGTCTTAATTCTTCACTGTTTATAACTGTGTGAAGAAAACAGAAACATTTGCTTATATTATAAAGTAATATACTTTCACACTTATGCACAATACTACTAAAGTTACTGCAACAGCTTGTTTCTGTTAAACTTTATATACTTTTATCTTTCCAAAACTACAAATGTATAACTTGACAGATATGTTTAGTCTTTGACTGCAGAGAGTAGCTGTTTATTATATAGTAATGAATCTAGTTTATGATTTATAAATGTTGAAGGGACAACAGCTAGCACTCCTGTTAGCAACAAGCCACTTAATTAGCTTCATTTAACTGGTAGATATGTAATGTTAGTTTTAATTACTGACTAAAGACTATCGTGAACATTGAACTTTAAGTAATTAACGCTACGAATTAGCGGCATATCTGTACATCAACAACGATTGTATCATGTCTGACACTTTTTGTAGGAAAGCTAACTTTACTTTAGCATCTGACTTCCTTAGCTACTACTCTCACTTAACTGCAACAAAAAGGGCCATGCCGCTGTCATTTAACCACTTGTAAGGACGACATTACCTTTAAACAAGTAATCGTATTCATCGTCTCGAGTTCCCATATCAAAAGACTCTTTTTACACACTTTTCCTGCAAATATCCACAACTCTCTCCGTCTATCGGGGTAGCAAACACCGCCCTCAGGGAAGTACAAGCATGTGACTTTGGAATCGTCCAGATTGGCCAATAGGAAATCAGATCGTTTTGATTGACATATAGTTCAACCAATTGGATAAGTCCTGATAACAGACTAGCCAATCACAATGCAAACAGTAAAGACAACGAGGTATTATCTAGACAGCCTTTGTAGTCATTTAAAGGTTACACTGCACTGCGTTAAACCTGTAGACTATAAATCGATCAATTTGATATTTATTTATTTATTTATTTATTTATTTATTCATTTAAGTGGTGTTGACCTAGTTGAATTGTATATGTAGGCTTTAGAAGCGACTTGTGATAGTGTCAAGTTGGCAACAGGAAGTTGAATACAAATTTAGGGTTAAGCAATTTATTTCCTATTTACCTAGTAGTTAGTTTATATTTAACTTTGTTTCATGTTTATATAGAATTGCAAATAATTTCAAGTTTTTTCTGATCTAACAGATTTGCTTTGTCACTACAAAAACATTGCCTGATTTGCCCCGTTGACATAAAATACCCAACATAGATTTTCTTAACAGGGGCAAGATACATTACTGAGATTTTATTTATTTGTTTTTTTAACCACCCATAACTTCTCTGTGCTTTTCTTTCAAGGAGTCAGACATTTTTGTAGTCATAATGTTTTTTCAGTTTACAGTTTTTCAAACTTTCTGAAGAATTCAATAGTTTTCCTTTGAACTTTGGCTGTCCATACGTGCATGTTATAAGCACGATAACTTCCAAAGTAAGTGAGCTACCAACTTCTATTTTGGTGTGGGGCTGCAATGATAAGAAAGTTTCCTTTTGAAAATTGGTTTGCCAGTTCAAAATCAAAGATGGCCACTGCCATATACAGTATATTTAAACTTTCTGAGCTGCATAACTTGAAAAAATAAGCAACTGGCCAACTTTCTTTTTGGTGTGTGGCTGTATCTATGCGTAAGAAAGGTTTCTATCAAAAACTGGGTTCCTATGTCAGAATCTAAGATGGCCACCACCATATATGTAAACTGGCCATCACTATCATTTGAAAAATCGATGATTTCTAGTTTTTATATTGCTTAGAAGCAGGGCTTAATTTGTAAACGGATCGATGCCGGAACACAAATAGAGGGCAGACCGGCAGCGGACCGGGGTGTGGGTGGCTCTGGGATCTTCCCCCAGAAATTTTGAATAAAGTAGATGTGATTTCCTGCATTTTGGTGTATTTTAATAGGTTGTTAAACATCTATGTTTATCTACATTTGTAAACACTCCGCTTCTGTCGAGCATCCTCCCCCTCCCCCGTATTTGACGGTTTCGAGTCCGACTCTTCTCCGCTGAACTCCCCATGTGAAACCTCCAGGCGCCTCCTCCGTCTGTTCATTGCTGCCGTCTGTGAGCTCCTGCCCACGTACGACTGTCTGGTCGGCACTCACCCCTACCACTCTTTTAGGGAGATTTTTTTTTTTAAGGGTAAAAATGGAAATGCTACTTGAAGGGGCAGATTATATGTGATATTTAAGAAGTTGTGACTGTTGTGTTTAAAATTAATGTTTATGTAATTATTTTCAGTTAACATATCCAATATGTTTTATTTGTTCAAGGCAGTCATATTTGTTCATACCTTTTTATTATTGGTAAAACGGAGAGTTACTGGATCCAAATAAGCAGTTACTGGAATGCACCCTGTCAAAATAAGAGCTTATGGCTCCTGTTCTGGTAGGATCCGGCTCAAATTAAGAACTGCTTAGAAGTATAGTTTCCTCAAATGATTGGGTTAGCCGATGGGGTGGCCACAGATTAATTTCTGGTGGCAAGACCACCACTGGCCACCCCCTGGCTCCACCAATGCACCTAGTAGTGGTAGAATTGCTCCCTCTGCTCACCAGGATCTGTCACTCTGCGACACCTTGGACAAAGGAAAAAAAAAAAAAAAAACTATTGTACCTCTCTGTTCATTTACACTGTAACTCCTAGCCACTTGAATATCTTGCACCAAAAACATTTACGTGCATTCCCTGCTCAGTTCATGTCCAGAAAAACACTAATCTTGAAAACTACAAACATTCCCTCTTGTAATTGCTCTATTGCTCTATTCAACTGCTGCTCAACTGCCTGGCTGACATCAGGGACTGGATGGCTTAAAATTTATTGAGTTCCAATGAAAAGAAGTCTGAAGTCATGTTGTTCCCTCCAAACGACACGATCACAAACCACTGTATCGACCTCTCTGCTCTAACCCTGTCAGAAAAACAAAGAGTCACTAATCTGGGAGTGATAATGGACCCTTCCCTGAAGCTTAACAATCATGTAAACATGATTGTTAAATCATGCTTCTTCCAACTGAGGCGGCTGTCTAAACTGAAGCCCATATTGTCCAAAAAGAACCTGGAGACTGTAATACATGCATTCATTACATCTAGGCTTGATTACTGCAATTCGCTCCTGTTTGGTATCAGTCAAACCTCCATTGCACGACTACAACTGGACCAGAATGCAGCAGCCCGATTTTTAACCAGTACAGGCAAAAGAGAGCACATTGCACCAGTTTTGGCCTCCCTGCACTGGTTACCAGTTCACCTTCGAATCCAGTTCAAAACTCATGTATGTCTACAAATCACTGAACAGTTTTGCC